ACACACATACATCTACACTCACTCACTCTGAGTCACACACACACACACACACACTCAATCATTAACTCTCTCTCGCGCGTTGGAATAACAAAAGAGGTGGGTTCGAGAAAGGTATAGGCTATACGCGAACCATTTTCATGACGTGCACTATCAAAACGCGCGCGCGCGCGCGTGCGCGCGCGCGCGCGCGCGCGAGAGAGAGAGAGAGAGAGAGAGAGAGAGAGGTCATTGGTCCCCCTGAGTGGCATTGTCGTGTGCGCCAGACTGTTTCGTGAGACTTTCATTGACTCATCAAAAGGTTGAATGTGTGTGTGTATGTGTGTGTGTGTGTGTGTGTGTGTGTGTGTGTGTGTGTGAAAGAGAGAGAGAGAGAGAGAGGAAGAAGCGGCACGACGTTAAGCACACACGACAGGAGAACGACAGGTCGACGAGCATGAAAGATGGGGAGTGACACTCACCTTTGTGAAGCAATAGAAGGAGGTCGAAGGCGACATGGTAGGCGACGAACTATCTCCAACAAGGTGATTGCAACAGCAAGGGGCGTGTGGACTGCAACACTTTTTTCCCGGTGGCGCCCAAAACACGACAAGTTCAAATTCCAACCGGTCGCGCCTCGCTGCTGAAGGGCATCTTACAAAGATGCATTCCTGGCAGGAGGGCATAGTAGATAAACACTAGGGATACGGGACCGACGGTCTGGTAAGGGCGTCCCCAAAAGTTGCACCCCTTGCTGACGGAGGCCAGCAGGAAAGTTCAGAGGCCCTAGGGGCATGACATGGTTAGTTGGCCCCTGAAGGGGCATACTGCAAATAAATAGATTTCGGAGGGGCATTTTAATTTTTTTTCTCCCCCCAAAAATGGAAAGCTTGTTTTTTGGGTGGGGTGCTGTGTGACTACGTGCACTTCAAATGGTGTCCAACTGGGTGGCCTGACAGAGTCCAACCGTGTGACCACACGGGTACCCAAAGCCTCAAATTCGCGGTACCAAATGCCGCAAAAAGTTTGAGACTTTAGGTCCTGGGGCATGGTCCCACTAGCAACCGGATAAGATAGAAAAGAGTTTGTGTGGCAGTTGAGTGACCCAAATCCTGTGGTGCAGTACTGGTGATCCCATGGTCAATATTTTACATGCATTACCCGAAAAAGTAAGGAGATTTTGGTTCCCCTCCTCCTCTCCTTAACACTGGGCATGCCGGTGCAAAGGAAGCTTCCCGCCAAAATCTTTTCAATCCGTTGGGGGCATGGCCAACCCCAAAAGAGAGCGGGGTCGGCCATAGACCCACCGGATAGAAGATTTTCAATATTTTGTTTGCTGTTATGCAGTTATCTCATTGGGTGGAGCCCTCCTTCAATCACGGAGTATATGGAGGGCGTCAGGATCACTGCTGACAGAAGTTGAGTTTATTCCAGAAAATATGGCAGTTACTTCCTGCACTGTTTTTTTTTTTTTTTTTTTTTTTTTTTTTTTGGAGGAACACAAAATTCATTACCAAGTTGAACAGAGGCCGGGAATCCTCACGAACAACCCGATACAAACTTTTGGGGCCTTTACCCAGTATAGGTTGTGCTGGAAACTGAGTCCAACGTCCCAAAATCATACTTTTACCTCTTAAATCTGTCAATTATCTAGTAGTCCTCCAAAATCACATGAAGCACAAAAAAAGAGGTGTTTCCTATGGAAAAGCAGACTCCCTTTAAGTCCTACTGCACAAGGCAGTCTTTCCATCCAAAGCTCCTTTCTTCCCTTTCAGTCTAAAACGACTCATTTAAAGGATTAACAAGTAAGGCATTTCAATGACCGTCTTTCTTAATGACCAGTTTCTGCTGTCCTACGGCGGTTTCAGCCACTGGGCATAAGAAAGTTTCTTACCTGATAAAATAGTCACTATTTTATTCTCCTTTGCTCATCTGCGCATAAACCATTGATAAGTTTTCCTCCTACTTTTATGACAGCCTTGCCAGTTTGTAATTATTGTCCGCCTGATATTTCATTTTATTTGATGTTGCTGCTCCTGAATTACAATCTTTATATTTTTGAATACTCGAGCATTCCTAACTCGCCAGATTTCCTGTAAAATAATTCCTCTACAAACCGTGGCTATATAGCCTCAACCGCTGTCATAGCCACCATCATGATGAGGCAGTATTCCATATAGTATCTAGGCATCCGACCAAGTCCATGAGGAGGAAATGTCTTTCTTCCAGATATCTAACCACCACATCAAAATCTCGCCTGCCAACGAACAACAGAGTTACAAATGGGAGTTGTTTTCTCACCCCCAGGCTGTAGAAACCACTAAAAAGGACTATAGTTAAAGTAGGCTCGTATCCTTTTGTGATGGCAACCAAGTTAGTACTTTCCGAAAGGCTTGCCAATCCGGATGGTTGTGTTGTCCATTCGTGGCTTTATCCAGTCTCCTTGAGGCTGTCTGTATCGGTTTCCTTGTAGATAGATCTCTCAGTTTCCTCATCGCCACCTTTGGCTTATAAGCCACCAGTGGGATGGTACTTGATTCCCGTCCTGTTTTGTTGAGAACCTTCCAAGCAAGGGTCAGTGGTTCCACATGAAAGCTCGTTGTTGTTCTCAGAAAGTTTATTTGCTTACCATCTGGAGAAATCATTACTTTTGCTTCCTGCAGATGAAGAGTTGTGGGTATGCTGCTTTCCCCCACTTTCTTCAAGCATTGGAATGCCTTTAGTCCCCTAGAAGCCAACGAGGTGGACCATTCTTCCACTCTTATGCCTGCTTGCAGGTCCGGACCCACTACTTTCCACAGTGTTCCTGGAGTATTATCTGCTAAAATCCATGTGTCCATACCTTGTTCCACTTCCAACCTCAGCAGACTGGTCGACGACGCTGGGATTGCTGCAGTTATCTGCTGTAAGTGCTGGTAAACCCTGCGAAGCCTTGGTAATTTTTTTTTTCAATTCGTTCTCTGAAATCCAATGATCCTTTTTGAATTCCATATATGCTTGATCTGCAGTACTCCTTTTTCTATCCACGCCCGTTCAAAGGCCCCACCTCCTTCACCTGCAGAAAACACTATTAGTTAACTTGTGTAATTAGCGAATTTTCAAATAATACTTGATTTACTACTTCTTGCTTGGATGTTGGCTACTTAACAAAACGAGGGATCAACGTTTTCCAAGCTTGAAGTATATATTGCCAAAGTTGAGACTTCAGCCTTCTATTAGCAAAGGAGGGTATCAACAAGTAAACCCATACACGCTTTGACTCAGAAAGATTTTACTCCTGGCCAAGAACTTACTTTGCTAATTGTATCCACAGTTTGGAGTTATCATCTAGCATGTCATTGACCGGCCATTTAGTTAGCAGTGCCATGTTCTGTTGAAGCGGATCTAGCAGGCCTAGACCTCCCTCCTGTCTTGTCTGAGTTACTGTCGCCCAGACAACTTTAGTAATAAACCCTTCCTCCTCATCTGACCCGGGTTTGCACAGATATTTGGCGGCAGCCCTCTTGATCCCTTTGTAGGCCTCATCTCCCAACCTTCTTATTGTGAGTGGAAACCAAAGGAGAGAAAGCAGCAGATGAAAGAACCAGGGTCCGCCCAAAAAGGGACAGCTTGAAATTTCTTTGTCAACTCAGAATGCGCCCTACGACCTTTTGGGTTAGCAACAGATCTTGCGATTTGGAGCAATCTGAAAGAGAGACTAACACGCCTAGGAATCTTTCTGATTCTTCAGACGAAATTTGCCTCAGTCCCCAGTTAACCTTAAGAGTAAAGCATGATGGCAGAAAAAACACAGACTTATGCCAATTTATAGATGCCTCAGATAGAATACAATATGTATCTAGTACTTCTTTCAATTCACCTAAAGCTAATTCTGTATTCTCACAAACAAGTGTAAAGGGAGGGGGTTACAACCATACCCGTTATTATGGGATTTTTTCTTATATTGTCGAGTAAAGTTTCCAATTGCAAGACAAATAGCAAGGGGGCTAAAGAACAACCCTGTCGCAACGATCGCGTCAGTTGGAATTCCTCTGACAAGCGGCCATTCACGAGCACTGCGGAGGTGGAGTGTGCTTGCACTGTTGTTGGAACCACCACCCTCAAATCATTTGTGATTTGATGGTTGGGAAACACTCGACCGTGATTTCAGGTGGGAGGTCTCTGTTTTTTTTTTTTTTTTTTTTTCCCTTTCTCCTGTTGTCTCACCCCAGAAATTCGTAATGAACCTGTAGGGCCGCTGCCACTTAGTGTCACACTGGATCGGCCACACTCCTATCCGACTGCTAATGGGACCACACCCCTGGTGTGAGTATGCCCTGGGTAATGCTCCCAGCAATTTGCCCGGCCTCGTTCAATATTTTGCAACGAATATATGATTTCATAAAAAAGATGAGGCATAATGTGCAAAGTACCCCCAGAAGTTAAGATATGTTCCAAAATGCCCTTAAAAGATGTGGTTAGAGCGGAATGCCCCTCTGACAAACATAATCTTTTGTGAAATACCCCTGGCATTGGGTGGACCCCCATCTTTGCAAAACAACCCTACTGGGTATTGTCCAACTGTGTAAAATGCCCCAGTACTTGACAACTTCTCTTAGGCGCTATTGCAAAAGGCCAAGGCCCAAACGAGGAGGTCCAGATTGCAAAGTTGCACACCCGTACCCCTACTGGGTACCGTCCCGTCCAACTTTGTAAAATGCCCCAGTACTTGCCAACACACCTGCCTGACAGGGGAACAACACAAATATTTCGGGCCAAAAGGGCATCCCGGTCACCCATACCTTTCAGGGGCATTTTGGCATGTACTCTCAGCTTATGAGCGTATTTTGCAAATTATACCAAAAAAAACGGGGGACGTGCCAGACAGAGCCTGGTGGTAGCCGGTGCGCGAGGCCAAAGATTGGGAACGGGGAGGGGTTTATGCTGCCCTACGTGGGGCTTGGGTTTGGGCGCGCGTTCAAAGCCAGCAGCTCTCTCGCGGAACAGCTTCGTGGCACAGCTCGCAGGAGTCGTGGGAGTAGTGGCCTACCCAACGACCGGGGCAGCCGACGTCAGCGTTTGTTCAGGGGGAGGGCCGGTGCTTCTTCATCATCAATCGTAATCCTCAGTGTTAGCTGAACAACAGGACGAAAAATTGAGTGTCCGTCAACATGGCTGCAGATATGGAGGAGGACAAGAAGGAGCAGCCACGGGCCCTCGATGAAGATGATATTGCTCTTCTGAAAACTTACGTAAGTGCTTGCTATGCTATTGTATTGTGTTGCGTCAATTCAGACTTGAGGTGGTCCGAAGGAAGCAGCTGAATGGATTAATTGTAGTAATTGTAATGGACGGTTGCGCCCTTACCCCGTGATTCACTGGATGAAATGTAGTAGATGTACTCGATCGACTGGGTGAGGGGTATACATGTGTGTGTGTGTGTGTGTGTGTGTGTGTGTGTGTGTGTGTGTGTGTTGTAAATTGTCACCGTAACAAACCCTTTTCCACCCAGATGAGTAGATCCAAATTTGTGTGTGTGTGTGTGTGAGAGAGAGAGAGAGAGAGAGAGAGAGAGAG